CAAGTCACAGAGCATTGTTCATCCAGAACAGAACACTATTTCAAATACAAAGCAAAGCAACTACACTTTCTTTTATTTTGCGAGAGTAATTCACGGGCTTTCTTTTTATTTTATAATCCCATAAAAACATCAATCCTGGTCTAAATAACTCCTGTAAAGCCCCTTCCCACCCAAACCATCCTGATATTCTGTGATTTGCTGACCAGCTCAGCTAAAGAAGTGGGGGAAATCCCTGTGCATGCACATTATTCAAGTATTTCATGTTCCTCACGTGGCAGAGCAGAAAGGTTTTTACTTTGGTTTGGGGTCTTTTTTACAGTTTTTATACAAACAGGATTAAACCCTCAATGATTCCAGGGTTTTGCCAATAGCAGTGTTTCCTTTTTAACTGCAAAAGAAATCTGAATGCTGATCTTTTAATGACTGCTCAGCATTTTTGACAACTTCTACCCCTTTTGCTAATGGAACTTCAGACAAAAATAACTTCTAGAGAGTTTTCCCACTGACAATCATTACGAAGCGTGATTCTGGTGGCATAAAGTTCTCATTACATTTCCATTATATTTGTGGCAAGTCCCACACTGCCACAGCACAGAGGGATTCAGAAATCAGCCAAATGATAGACTGGGTTACACCAGCACAACAGTTCAGTACCTGCCCCCTCTCAGCCCTTATCTACAGCCACAGCAACACAGGAGAGCAGAATAAACCCCTGCACTGGCCCAGCCCTCCTGTGGCACTGACAGTGTTTCTTTGCTGACAACCCAGACTTACAGAAAGTTGAGCAATTATTCTCTGCATTTACCTGAAACTCTAAGAACACACATTTTCTTCTAATGATTCACCAAGTGTAACCTTTGCACAGGATCAGATTCTCTTATTAAGATAAATTTAGCCACCTTGTTGAGATTAAGATCAACTTTACATTTAGAAAACAAGGCTCCTGATGTTGTGATTTATATGTCTATAAAAGCCATATATTTAGTATGCATGATATACAGTAACTCAGGTATGCACTAAATTTCATGCTGAAAGCTGCTGATGCCTCAGGCTACTGAGCGAGATGATACATGATTCTGTACATAAGGAGATTGCAAAGTAGTTTCTTAATTTACCTCTAAATTACAGTTACCAGAGGGTTTTCTGAGTATTTGTCTCTAAATGTCTTTTAGTCTGGTAATAACAACTGCAGGTACTATGAAAGTAAAATTGCCAGCTTCTGGCTGAACTCGTATATCGTCTAAGTTTTTAAATTTGTAAAGGTCTTGTTCACATGGTTTTTAGAACACCATAAAAAATGTATCCTTTCCTATGGTCAATTTACCTGAAAATATTATTGTGCAAAACAAGGCATGTATGTATACACACTCAAGCACTAAGCCAAATATTTATAAAATTTCAAGTGTTCTGTTTTGGTTTACTGTTATTTCCTTTCTTGCAACAGATCATTCATTTGATTACAGGCTTGTGCCTATAAAAGTCAAGACTGCAGGTTCTAACTGAAAACTAGGAAGAGTTCTTGTTTCAAGACAGTTTCATTACTCTACCTTAAGTATATGTATGTTATTCCAACTTCACTCAAGGAAACCTACCCAGGCACAGCAACTCTTCCTATCGAGTCCATTACAGAAAAACAGATCTCATAGGAACAGAGCTGGAGGGCACATTCCAGTAGATGAAATTTGTACCAAAATAAATGCAGTCATAAAAATCATAAACAGTTTTAAAAAATGTGGAGTTCTACGAGTCACTATTTTTGATTATTTTTTGAAAACCTCTGCAGGAGTTTAATAATAAGCAGTGTTTTGTTTGAAGCTGATTTTCAAAGGGGCAGGCCGACACTTTTACAGCCCAGCCTGCAGGAGCAGGATGACAGTAATGGTGGGTCAGGAGGTGAGAGGAGGAAAAGCCTTGAATCAGAACCTCCATCACCTGCCACCAGGTTGATCTATTGTAGGGGAACTAAAAATGGCATTTTTAGTCTCAAATTTACAAAACCACCTGTAAGCTTGTCTTTTTCCTTCTGAGCAGGTACCAATTCTAAAGGCACTAAACGGTGAGGTGCTTGTGAAACTGCACAATTCCAGAGCTGGAATTAAAAAACAACACCAAATACTCCACTTAAATCAAAAGTTCCAGAAGAACTGGCAGTAGTGAATGTCCTCTCAAACTGCATCAGCTCCTCATGACTGGAGCTGTGGGGAACAGGCAGAGTTGAGGCAACTGAACAGACCTGGCAGGAAAATGCCAAAGGAGTGATGTCCATGAACAAGGGAACACAAGTTAGATAGATGCAGCTTCAAGGGAACTTACCAGTTTATTATTAATTTTCACTGTCCTGTTTCCATTTCTGTTTGCAAGCAAAACACTGTTTTTTGGTTTTTTTTTTTTTTGCTACAATACTGAACAATTGCCTGAGATAAGCCCCTTCAGTATTTCCAAATAAAGCCCTCTGATATTTCCAAAGCCAAATACACAACCTTAAATTTCCTGGACTTAAAGGGGAAAGATTTTTAGAGAAGCTGGAAACTGTCTTACAGAAAATTGCAAGCCCTAAACAGCTCCATGGATAGCACCCCTCATTTTCTAAAAGGACAGGAAAAAATTAATTTGAAGGTAAATATTATAATTTACCCTTACTAAAACTCATGTTGCCAACTTCAATATGAATTCACTGAACTCCATAATTATGCTGTAGAACAGTAATTGCTAGACCAAATTCTAAATCCTTCTTATTTTGTCATAGGTAAGATTAATGTCAAACCAAAGCTGACTGTAATGCTAAAACACACACAAACCCCAGAAAGCGACTCAATACTTACTTTAGTTTATTAAGAACACAAAAACTTTTATCTTCTCAAGATGAAGCTAATCCTCATTGCAGAATGATTTGGATTGGATGGGACCTTAAAGTTCATTCCCATCCCACCCCCTGCCATGGGCAGGGACACCTTCCACCAGCCCAGGTTGCTCCAAGCCCCGTCCAACCTGGACTGGGACACTTCCAGGGATGGGGCAGCCACAGCTTCTCTGGGCAACCTGTGCCAGGGCCTCCCCACCCTCACAGGGAAGAATTTCTTCCTCATATCCAATCTAAACCTGTTCTCTGCCAGTTTGAAGCCATTCCCCCTCATCCTGTCACTGCAGTTCCTGATGAACAGTCCCTCTCCAGCTTCCCTGTAGGGTCCCTTCAGATCCTGGAAGGTGCTGTGAGGTCTCCACTCAACCTCCTCTCCTCCAGTTATACATTCTCCCCATTACAAAAATAGGGGCTATATTTTTTATTATTTATTATTAGTAGTGTACTATTAGTGCATTTACTAATGTATTAATGATGTTACTGGGAAAAGAGCTCGACCGGGACTGGAAATCATGGAAAAGCACATGTGAAAGCCTCCCTTCGTTCCAGAGCCAGCAGGCAGTTCCAGAGCCTCTGGTAAGGCTGTTCCCAGGGTTTTCCTGCTGGGCAGGAGGCTCCCAGCCAAGCTGGCCAGAGAGGAAGACCCTTCCCCAGCTCGTGCCCACAGTTGCCACCGTGAGGCACACAAAGAACAGCCAGTGCTGAAGCCCAAGGTCCCTCAATGCACTGGGCACTTGGCTTGTTGTACACCCACCATCTGCCCTGTTCACATTGTTGTTGATTGAATACACAGAGCAAACTCTCTAAACCCAGTACGGGCTGTAAATCAGACCCATATTGTGAGATCCACTCTGAGGGGAGCTGGGAACCAGAACTCCCTCAGCTTTCATTCAGTGTGAGGGCTGACCACCCAACCCTCCTCTCTGAACCTGCCTTTCTGTGCAGTGAGAGCAGCTGCTTCCCCCTCCTCATGAGCACGTGTTTATGGACACAAACTGCCTCAGGACTGAGCAGTGTGTTTATCTGAACCCATCTGGATGTATCAAACCAGGGGAAGCTGCAGACAGGATATCACATCACCAGCCTTTCCAAAGTTTCCACGGCACTTCAATAGTGTTCTGTGATATCACACACACCAATCTAAGCAATTTTCAAGACACTATAAGGCAATAATATTTTCAGGCAGTTCATAGCAAGTTAATACTCAGCTTCCACTGAAAACACTAACTCTGCTTAATTGCTCCAGGGGCCTTTGAAAATCTCAGCAAAAGAGAACAATAAGCAGTAAATCAACCCTTTCAAAACGAAAGCAACCCCCTCCCCTCCACTGTCATTAGGTATTCCACAAAAATGTATTTCACTTCCACAAACACATATTACATCATAGCAGGGCAGAGACAGAGCTATGCAAGAGTGATTAACAGGACTAATAAAACTTCTCAGAAATATTAAAAACTTTGATTATATACTCTAATACGAACGGGGAAGTGGAAGATCATTTCCATATTCCCCATTTAGAAGACCATACTATTAGAATTTGTCAGACAAAGACACTTTTAGCAGTGCTTTTCTCACTGAAATTAAGTTAGTCTAACAAATCCTGGAGGAGAGCCACATCTTTTATCACTCAAAGAAAAAAAAATCATATTTAAAGCTTGCTGCCCTTTCCTCTTTTTCCTCACTGTGCAAACAAAACTGATTTTCTATACAGGAATTATAAAATAAAGGGTTCCAAGTGATTTGATAGAGGCGGACCTACATCTTTAAAGTGACATGAAAAATGGAGGGACTAATTCAAAGACTTAAAATTCAGTTCATGTAACAATTCCCACCCATTTGCCTTCACCTGAAGTTGAAATTTGGTCTCAGACTTTTTAAAGAAAGTGCAAAAGTGAAAACCACAAAGGAACTAGGCACTGGTTTGCATTCTATAGGGCTGGAGCATAAGGTAAGCAGGCAAACACTGCACTGTTATTAACAAACTCAGCATAATTGTGATAGTGATTCGAAGACACACAGAAAAATCGCCTCCTTTACACCATCAATTCCAAGCCCTATTTCTAGACCAGCAATATATTCACATCAAGGTCAGGCATCTGTTTACATGTCAGAGTCCTGCCAGAACAATGTGTAAACTCACCTTGTCTTGGTTTTCCTTATTTTTGTAACACAAATTTCCAATCAATCGAATGAGATGAGATTTAAAACCCACGGCTGGATGTGAAACTTCTTCCTGCCCTGTCACAGCATGTGTGGCAGTGAAAACATTCACAGCTTGTTTCCCAGCAAGGTGAGTTAATCTCAGGGTATCTACAGAAAAGAAAACCACTTTAATTCAGCAGCACGTGGAAATCAGGATCACTTGGCACAGAGCTTCACTATTGATTGCTGAGCTCAAAGTTAAACAACCCAGTGTCAGATATTCAGCCCCGTGTCAGGAGAACTGTGACAGCTTGCTTCCTTCCGTGGTTTGTGGTAGTACAACCATGAAAGACCACCCCAAGAGGGGATTTTTGCACACTTTCTACACACCAACATGGTTCAGACATGAAGTCTGAAGGCTGCTGCTCTCCATCTCCATTTGAAGAGGCTGTTGAGGATTCTGGCACCACAAATACACTGCTAAAAACAATTGGAGTTTTGGTTGGTTTTTTTTAACCTATTTCTCTTCACAGTCCATAAGCTTTTACAATTTTCTCACAAAATGGTGGCATATCTCAGTCTCAGAAAGTGCTGAAACTAGGAAAGCACAGGTCAGGGTATGTACACCCCCTCCTCATTCCTCCCTGACTATACAGAGCCTGTCTGGAACATCCTGGTTCTTTTCTTCCCTTGCTCTTTCTTAGCTCCTTTCACACTGACCTTTAAAGGTCACTGAACTTGGTTGGTAACATTCACACTGCACTTCAGGTTCAGTTCTCAGAAATATGGGAAACTGAAGGGAACAGGCATGGAGGAAAAACCTTGTTTGTACCTCTGGAGGGAATTCTTCCATGCATCCAGCCAGTGGAAGAACACGGGCAGCAGCTGTGCTGCCCCTTGCACTGCTCTGTGCACGAACAGCACATTGCTGACACCTCAGTCAAGGCTCTGCTGGGCTACAGGGGCCGACAGCGAGTGGAGAAGCAGCAAATTTCCAGGAAGGAATCAAATATTTGAAAATGCAGATGAACCCCATCTGCTATTTATTTATCTTATGGAAAGCTCAGAACAATAACGAATGTCTGTTGTGGAAAACACGGAGCCCCCCCGGCATGAAGAGGCCAAGGGGCAAACCCGGGGGGCTCCCTCACCTACAGCAAACCCGGGGGGCTCCCTCACCTACAGCAAACCCGGGGGGCTCCCTCACCTACAGCAAACCCGGGGGATCCCTCACCTACAGCAAACCCCGGGGATCCCTCACCTACAGCAAACCCAGAGTGCTCCCTCACCCACAGCAAACCCGGGGGCTCCCTCACCCACAGCAAACCCGGGGGCTCCCTCACCTACAGCAAACCCGGGGGATCCCTCACCTACAGCAAACCCGGGGGTTCCCTCACCCACAGCAAACCCGGGGATCCCTCACCTACAGCAAACCCGGGGGTTCCCTCACCCACAGCAAACCCGGGGGCTCCCTCACCTACAGCAAACCCGGGGGATCCCTCACCTACAGCAAACCCGGGGGGCTCCCTCACCTACAGCAAACCCGGGGGATCCCTCACCTACAGCAAACCCAGAGTGCTCCCTCACCCACAGCAAACCCGGGGATCACTCACCCACAGCTGCTTCCAGCAGCCCAGGCAGAGCCTGCAGCCGGTCCAGCTGCCCACTGCTGGAGGTCAGCTCACAAAGGACATCGAGGAGCCGGACTGTCACCAGCGCTTCCTGGGAATGGAAAGGGCATTTCTGAAAACCCTGACGAGGAATATTGTACAAACAAACCCGGGGACAGAAACAGGGGACAGGAACTCTCAGCACCTCGAGTTCCTTGCAGGTCTTCTAAAACTGCCAAGAACACATTTATATAAAATGAGGACATATCTTTAAAATAACAATAGTGTATTACACTGCAATAACTTCTTTCCTACAGCGTTATATGTGCCTGAAAAACCATGGGGAAACCAAAACAGAGCCATAAAGGATAAAATTTTAACAAAAACAGAGGAGCTTCCAAAAGCAGAAATACAGAAAATTGCTAGCTGAGAAAATTATTTCTGTATAAATGTTTTCTTTGAGTTTATTCAGTCGGAGTGTCCTGCTCTAAAGACACAAACGCCGCCTGCAAGACACCACTTTGTTATCCGCAGGAATTCTGTAAAGTTCTGTGGTCAAATGAACTTTGGCTGCGAGAATTTACATTATTCTTGGGTAAATCGGGTTGGGACCAGAGATGAAGCACATTGGTGAGGTACAAGACACACCATTTTATTTGCATATTATTTATTCAGACAGGGAACTATTTTTTCTCATGGAATATGTTGATGTTGCTCATAATGACAATCCAGCACTTGGAGGAACTACCTTAAGAGCACTTGGCAGAATCTGGGACACCACATATTGCTCAGGTGCCAGGCTGGGGCTGCAAGATGATCCCACTCAAGGTGTGGTACATAAACTGCAAGCAGCCATGAAAAGGCTCACACGTTGGTCACAGGAACTATTCCTGCCTTGTGTGCTCCAGGACAAAGACAGGCTTTCTTACCCACAGTATAATATTTGTGAACCCCTATAATCAATATAATGTAATTAAAACCATCAACAATAGTGCTGAGTAATTAAGTACTACAATTATATTCGTTCCTTGCTCCTTGAAGACACCAATTCACTACAGGGTCCAGGTCCTAAAGCTTAATTTCCATTTTTTATCTCACACAGGTGTAAGAAGGTGCAAGTCTTGCCCTAAATTATTCAACAGATTGCCTTCAACAGCACAAAACCAGACTGTAAATACATCAGCCATTATCTTGCTACAAATTAAGAACACTCCAACTGTATTTCAGAGACAGTAACCAGCTATTTACAATTTTTAAGAGCAACAAACTATTTAAAAACCACAAAAGAACTCCCAAATTCTTATCTACATTTGAAACTCAATAATTTCAAAGAAACTGTTTAAACATCTCTGGTTGACTCCCTCCCCTGCTGTCAACCAAATCTTCTTTTGGTTGACACCTGTACAAAAGGAAGACAGTAAAGGAGAATACTTCCTTTTGAAGTTCAAACCCCCCAAATATTTTGAAATCTGAAAGCCATCTTGATATGAATATAATCTGAAAAGCAAATAAGGAAATAATCGATGAGTTTTTAAATAAACATATTTTGAGAGAGATGCAGAAAAGATATTCCTTATAAAGAGATGAAATAACAACTTCAAGTCCAGGGAAGGGTTTTATTTTGCAAGCATGGTTGAAAGTTAGTGCAAGCAGACTGATGCTAAAGTCAGGCTTAGAATGGAAAAGCTATTTTAAATGTTGGTTTAAGTGCTGCAGAAGCATATGATTAACTTCTCATGGGTTTAAGATGGAAGCTACAAGACCTGAGGTTCCTTAAGGAAAAAAGGCAGTGCCTACATGTAATAAATTAAACAGTGGATGGGACACCAGACAATATTTTGGGAGCCAGGCCAGCCCGAGGGCTGTTCCCAAAGGCACTTTCGCTGTGGCCTTGGAGCTCTGGAGTCCAGGGCAGATCAGTGGGACAGAGCCTGGGGTCCAGGCAAAGCTGAGTTCAGTGCCACACATGTTGCCTAAAGCATTTTTAATGACAGATTCCACATGCACAACTGTATTTTTTGCAGTCAAACACAACTGTTATGCAAAACCTAAAATATTTATACAATCAAGGAGAAATTGGTGCAATTCTTCATGATTTCTGGTAAGAAAACAAACAGCTTTATGAATTTGGGCTGGAATTTCTCTTCTCCCACGGTAAGCATATGTTATGAATAAATGTATACACACAATACACATGCACACATAGTGCCCTCCAGTTATTCAGCTGTTAGGACTCATATTTGGTGCTCATTCAATGACCCCCGCTTCCCACCAGTGACACTCAACTTAGAGCACATTATGTTTATGTGAGAGAGGAATAAGAAGTCAGTGTCAAACAGGTTGGGTTATTCAATAATATTCACAATACTGCTGCCCCAGCACCTTCAAGTTGGACAGAGGCGACCTCCTGCTGGCTGCAAACAAATGTTTTTTTCCAAGAACTGAAACCACAGAAAACTTGGAAAGTAACCACAAAGGATAAAAAAAATGGGGAAAACCCCCCAAAAAATGAATTGCCTCAGTGTATGTCCTGTTACTGCCAAGCTAGTACCTTTTCCAGAAATAGCCAATTAAGACAAGAAGAGATTGCTGTGTGCTCGTTGGTTTGTGTTTGTTGGGTTTTTTTTTTAAACATATCCAACTATCACCTCCTCATAAAGTGATTTTTAACATCTTTTCATAACAGCTCTCAAATTTAAAATTCTTGTGCCTATTTAAACAAACAACCAAAAAAAATCAGCAAGTATAAGGGTATTTAACATTATCATATCAAAGCATTTAAGCCGTACCTGATCCTGTGCCTGTGGAGCAGCAGCGAACCTGAGCACGGCTCCACACTGCTCCTGGAAACAGCCTGCCAGGAAGGTGGCGTGGCTCTCCAGCACCTCCAGCTCCTCACTGCCAACAGAGCTCTTCTCACTCACCTTCACCAGCATCAGCTCCAACAAAGTAACTCTGGGAGCAGAAAACAACTCGTTAATCACCGAGCCACAGAGAACCATTAGTACAATAAACTGATACTCCCCTTAAAAATGTTACAAACAATTAGCACGCAGAGGGGATTGTAAAAATTAAGAACTCTCACCAATACTGGCAATCAGTTCCTGCCTGCTGGTTTATTTCTGCACACCAATAATTTAACTCATCATTCAAGTAATACTATCTGCCCAGACAGTCAGTATTTTTCTCAAGTCTATTTGAATTTCTAATTTCTCATGTCCTAACACAATGTTACTGTGACTGCACATTCCCTCTGTCTAAAGTTTCCACCAAAACAGCTCTTAAAAGCTGTTGTTAAGTTCAGCAAAGTAAACACAGACTATTTGTCAGCTTCTGTTTGAAAATAGCAGCTTTTCACAACCCTTGCCTTGCCCCTAGTCCTTCACTAGGTCTCCTCCAAGACTCCAAACCAATTCTGAGCACAAACAGGAAAATAAAAATTGATATGTACTTTATATATCAGCTGTTCTTTACAGTTTTATAATTGCCACTTTATGGACTAAGCAAATCCAAGTTAATTACTTGTATACTCAGTAAGAATCACTGTGCATATCAAGCCAGCAAGTAAGAGGATACATAATGAAGCTGCTCTATAAAATGTACTTGGGTCATTTTTCTTAACTGCTTCAATGTCACTTTATTTCCAATATTCCTTCACGCTGTCAAGGCAAACTGGAAGCATTTAGTGGAAGCAGGACTTGGAGGTGGCAGAGGCCCTCCCACAGCTCCCTGCTCCACCTGGGCTCCTGAGTCCCACTTCACCCTCTCAGCCTCAAAGGGCACTATTTATTGAACGGATTCAGGAGCAGGCTCAGGGTTTTCTTTCACTGAAATATTTGCAATTCAGATGGAAGGACCGACATTTAAACATGTGGAATAGTTCAAATGCTTTTTCTTTTAAATTTACCAAGCAGGTTGTCAGGAGGGGAAGAGAAATGTCTTTCTGTGTGGAAAAAGCTCGGTCACTGCTTTATTAACCTCCAGGAACCCACCCCTATTAATCACGTAACAGCTCCTCAGTCCTCGCTGAACTGAGCCCTTGGTGTCACTGATCCAGCTGCACTAACCCATTCTCTGCAGGAGCACAAAACCCTTTTCAACACGGCAGCACAGCAGTGCTCCCAGCTCCTCTGGGACAGGAGGCTGAGCCCCCTCTCCCAGGCTCTGCCTGCTCCTGCTCTGCAGGTCCCAGCAGGGCACCACACCCTGCCCACACCTCCAGGCTGACAGAGCCCAGGTCCCCAGCACCCCTCACCCACCCAGGCTTTCCCACCCGGCCCACCAGACAAAACCCAAGGGACGTGTCCTTCACCCCCCACACAGGGCTGGGCTTGACAGGCCACCTGTCCCCAAGTGTAGGGCCTTCCCTTCACGTGCTCAGCCAAGAACACAGGCTGCTCACAGACTTGATGAACACAGGAGTCATTCCAATAAAACACTACCTCCTGCTTGGCAGGATTCTAGTCAGCTCTTGTTGCACCAGTAATCCAAATAATACCCGTTCAGAAGTGACAAGCAATCCTTCTGTGAACAACCTGGAGGGTCACCACATAAACTATTCAACAGATTAAACAGTCGCCAACAGGGAAATGTTTTGCATGACCCTTCCTCTTGCAATATAATTGGTGCCTTTTTCCACAACCATAATCCTTCCAGAAAAACAGGAGTGACGTTAAAACACCACCTGCCTGACATTGCTTGAGAAGGTTTTCTGTTCTCCTTAGGCATTCAAGTCAAACTGTTTTCCTGAGTTTCATTCCAGGCACAGTCATTCAGGACATGCCCATCTTTCCCTGAATTTCAAGCAACTCTTGCCATTCAGCCAATAATTTCCTGAGAGCGACATGCTTTGTTCGGGTGCATGTTCTCTCACATTCCTTTCTTCTATTGTTTCTCTCAGTTTTCTTCCAAGACTCACCCTAATTTTTCCAAGTTAGTTCTCCCACACAGTGCAATTTGCCCACTTACTTTAAATGATCTCAGGACTCTTTAGCCATAGAGATGAAGAGTTTATTTCTACTTGTTTGTCTAAATACAACAAATATGTATATACGTGGAGCTAAATACAACAAATATGACAATTGTTATTACCAACTGAATTTTTCTAACACTCAGTTCAGTATCTAAAATAATTCTGTATATTTTATTTACGATTATACTTCTGTTTGAAAATAAATCATGCCCTGTCATTTTCCTTATCCTTAGGTATCACTGAGGAACACTTTGTGAATCTGTTGCTTTCTCTCCTCTAGCCAAATTTAAACCAGTTCTTCTGGATGCTGACTAAATTGGCATGAACTTAGAACAGCTACAATAAAGTATTTGCAATCATCAGTAAAACAAACTTCTGTCTCCTACAGCCTGCAAATAAACCACAGCATTCAAGTGCAATTTAAATCTGGAAGCTCATTACTACAAAATACAGTGCTGTCTCACTAAGCCTAAAACTAACAGTGTAAAATTCTATTGCTTTTGTTATCATCAATGTTTGCATCAAGCGTGCCAGCCACTGAGTGCCAGCCACTTGGGGCATTCTTCCTCTAACTTAGACTCCTCTTTGCTGAAACACTTCCCTGACAGCAATGGCTCCACAAGACAAATGAGGTCCTTCCTCAAAGCTTCCACTTCTTTCACCTTCAAATGACACTTGCAAGCACTGTATGAAATGCAAACTGGTGAATTTGTGCGTGGCTGTAATTCAGTGCTGCTCTGTGTCTGTGAGCACTGCCAGGGACAGACTGAACACGAGCATGAAGTGGAGCCACTTAGGGGACTGCAGTGCCCACTTCCCGGCAGGCACCTGGATCCCTGGCTGCATCCTTCCCTCAGGACACCCCCCCTGGCACAGCACAGACACCAAACCCAGGGGTGCAAGTAGCTGAGCAGCTCAGAAACACCTGAAGCTATTCCCCTGCATTTTTCTTGCTGTTAATTACAGAAAAACCCCTTCCTAAAAGGGACGACACAGACACACACATCCTGAAGATTTTACAATGTAATTAAGGCAATCAGGGCATTAACTTACATTGTCCATGCTCAAGGCTAACTTGGATGAAAGCAAAACAGGCTTTTTCTAAATACTTCTGCCAAATACCTGCACACACGTGCAGGGACATCTCCAATCTGCTGAAAAATTCAAGAATCTCCACTCTTGGCTCAATACTGTGGCCAAACGCTTCTCCAGCAGGCCCCTGCAGAGAGCCAGCAGGCATTGCCACAACCTCATGGGATCATCCACGTGATCCTGCACCAAAAGCCCTTCAAGCCGAGGGATCCAATCCCCCTCTGCACCACGGGGTGCAAAACAAAATCAGCCCAGAGCTCTCTGGAGACTGATTACACCTCCTGCTTTAAGGACAACAGCACCCTCACCCAGTCCTGCCTGTCCTCAGGGGCATCAGAAAACACACAAACCACCTGCCCTTCATGGTATTCCCCAAAAGAATTAAACCCAGCTCATTCACTTAAAACAGTCCTTCCCACCAGCTGGTTAAGGAGCCCCTACCTCCAGGCACATATTTGCTCAGCTCATACTTGTTCCCATTTGGTCATCCTGAATTATGGAGAGAGGCAGTATTTCCCTCCTCACCATTCCCATCCCATCCCTATACATTAATGATATTTAATTTATGGTTCAAACCCATCACATACTCTTTCTTTGCCTGACACCCCTTTTGTTTCCTTATAGTCTCCAGTCAGTGCCTGCACCCTCATTTGTAATGACACTGGAAACACAACACCACTCAGGAAAAATCACATTAGGGCACTGTTTTGTTTAGTGCTTTGTCTCTCACCTGAAAAAACTATGTAGGGGGAACTTACAGCTTCCCTGAGCAGAGGGGAACAGAGCAGCCATGGTGAACACACAAGCAAGACAACAAGATCTTCAAGCAGTTGGAGGAGCTGTAGCATTCTAGGACAGGTTTTCCCAAAGTGCATTGCCTTAAAATAATTTTTTTATCTTCCCCAATCCTCTATTAAAGAAATTGTAAATGAGCATTTTTCTACTACAGCAATGGCCATTTCCCATTAATTCAGCACACATTTACTCAAGCACTTGAAGGAAAACCAGCTGTGCTTCTTCAAGGTGAAGGTTCCCTGAAGCTTTTGAACAGTGAAATATTAAAAGATTAAGTAATCATGAGCATCTGCACATTTCTGTAGGTTTTGTAGGTTCTGCTCACCAGTACTGGACACACTTCCAGCTGTAGTAAAGACCTCCTTTTAATTTCTTGTCATGACAACAGAAGTATGAACAGCTGAGGATGTTTCTAATGGAGCTGTAAAACCCTGCAGGGTGTGGTGCTCTTCTGAAATCAAGAGCCAGGCATGAAATCCTGCCCTTTTTTTTGTGTGTGAAGTATTTCTTTACCAAGTAATGGCGCCAACCTGGATTCTGCAACCCTACATAAATCACTGCCAGTTGTGGCTAAGCTGTAATGTTAACCAACCAATTTAAAACCATTACTGACATAGAAACATGTATTTAGAGATTTTGTGCCAACTCTGAAACCACACAGTTTTTCAATCATGTGAACAGGATACTCTATATGGAATGCTAAATACTCAAAGCCACACTGGGTTTTGGGGTTACCTTTCTTGATTGCTCAGTTTGGCGTAGAGGGCTTTTACCAGCTCGGGACACTGCAGCAAATGGTCTGTAACAATCAGCAACCTGAAGGAAGAAAGGAAAAGTGTTACTGGTGCTACAAAAGCACCATCTACATTTATTCCAAATAGTGCTGGTTAGGTTTACTTGCAGATGAACGGGTGACATGCTTTTGGTCCTGTCTGCTGAAAGACAGAAATCCAGAACTGACAACAGCCTATTCTTTTTTGTTAATAATTCCTCTGGAAAGTGTGGCCAGCCTGCCCTTGTGCCAGTGTCTACACCCACAGCAGTCCATAGCAGGTGACAGGCCTTTAATTTCAACCCAGACTCGTACTCTCAGCATTATGGGGGAAAAAAAAGTAGGTAAAAATATTTATCTCTTCAAATTACACTCCTAAGAGCACCTACGGTGTCATTTATTCCTCATAGGTACACACAAACTAAACGATGTATTTTTAAAGCAGCATGTCTGGCTACTAAATATACAGTAATAACAGGTCAAGTCTCAGAGCATCCTCTGAGCTGATGAGGCCACAGAGAAAGAACAGCTAAAATAATATTCAAGCCAAGTGATTTCAATATTCCCTCCAGCTCCTCCCTAGTTTTCCCTTTGCTGACAGCCCTTCTTTTGCATGTCCATAATCCACTACACGGCTAACAGGCAGATCACACAGGAGCCTTCCAACTGCAACAAAGTACTTTTTAGACAAGTGGGCAAATAGGAGAACAAGAGGTCCAAAAGATTAACAGCTATTCCATTTCTAACAGTACATTTCTAACAGACTGAGCCGGCACTGGTTCAGTTACTGTAAACGACATTTTTTATAGGAGGAGGGATTAAAAACTAGTTGTGCTGTGCTTTTTTTTACTGATATTTGTACATTCACGAATGGAAAAAACCCAGCAGAGCCATAGGGAATCACCAACTTAAAACTGGCATGCTGAGGAGTGAGTTTCTGAGCACAAGTTTGACAAAACAAGGCTCCCCCGAAATCAGGAGCACAAATGTTGTCACCTGAGCCGAGTCACCAGCAGAGCAGTCCAGGGGAACACTGCCACAGTCCTGAGCCAACAACTCACAGCCACCCACCTGAAACCTTCCCCGTGGTAACACCTGACCTTATTTTTCAGCTTTAACCAGGAGCACAGGCTTTGCCTGGAGCTGTGAAAGAAAACACAACACTCCACGCTGTGCAGAACACAGAACTTGGCCTTAGTGTACAGATTCCAGCTGACAACACAGCAGAGTGCAAGTGCCTTCAAGGACACAGCCTGAAGCCCCATTTTTTTCCTGCGGTAGGGACCATGAATTAAAATCTTAATTTTCGTGTTTAACGTTACTTTGAGGAAACCTTCTTGAAATTTGCCTCTTAATTAAAAAGCGATCCATAATTAGCACCAAAAAAGCCTCATGCTCCCAGGTGCACACCCCTGATCACTACTGCAAAGTAGAGGGGCTGGAGTTCAGCCGTTCCTTGGCTCTACACTCCTGTATTGACTCACACACGTTTTTCACATTCACTAGAACTCTACTGCTTGAGGAGCTTGGAGTATTTCAGACTTAAGTTTCTGCTTCTTACCCTTCTGATTTCATGACATGATGTAACACCTTAGAAAAGAGAAGCTGTGGCTGTCCCATCCCTGGAAGTGCCCAAGGCCAGGTTGGACGGGGCTTGGAGCAACCTGGGATAGAGGAAGGTGTCCTGCCATGGCAAGGGGTTGGAAGCAGATGAGCTTTAAGGTCCCTTCTCACCCAAACCATTCTGGGATTTTATGAAGTGTCTGTTTCTGTATTTAAATGTCTCTCTGACCTTATCCACATCCTGCACTACTGCATCATCAAGAATAGAGCATGAGCACATTTTACCAGAGCATCACCAAGAGATAACAGAACTATCAGCAGAGGAAAGCACTTGCAGCTCTTTCTACCACGCACAGAAATTTTGGAGGTAGCTAAGCAAGGACACAGCAAACTCAATCCAGTGTCTTTAGTCCTCAGCTCTCCTGTTTTTCATTTTGGGGCAGGGGAAAAGAGGATGAAAAGTAAGCCCATCCACAGCTCTGAAATAAAGACATTCAGTTTTGGGTTACTGACTGAACATGGCATGTCAGATGCACACAAAAGGCTTTGGGAGGAGATTGAAACTCTCTTTGGGGGCCAACAGCAGAACCACTGGGATAAACTGAGGACCACTGTAATTTGGTGAAGGAAATGGTGAAAATTAAAGCTGTTATGCAAGCGTAACACAGGAACAAATGAACAGTGTTAAATCTGCCAATTTTCTTGACTTTTTAAAAATTGTTTGGCTAAAATCCTAAAAAAATCCATAGTAGATAAATACAGGAGGAGATGTTCAAAGACTTTCTAACAGCACAAGGGCTGTATTGTACCAGGCTGAAGTTGAGAAGCAGCCAAGACAACGTGGTATGAGCTGCATTTGCACTCAGTGTATTCCAAATGCCCACTAAGCTCGCTCCAATCCAGGCTGGGTGCAAGCAATCAGCTTCATCATCAAATGTCATGCTCCATATTAAGTTGATTTGATCCCATTAGCAAGTTTAGAGAACAGGCTCCTCAGTCTCAGAAAATGAGGAAGAAAACCCCAACAAATGTTTTCAAAGTACCAAGAACAAGCCATGGCAATTCTCTACTTGATCAGCAACTTTCTCTTTCAATCTCAAAACCAAAAGCATTTTTCATCACCCTACAATAATGCCACTATCCAAATTATTTAGTAAGAACTAAGTAGCTATCTTTTTACTGTAATTTAACAGACAAATGTAACAAATCATCCAAATTTTGAAGAAAAAAGGTGGAAAATTCAGACAGCTGACCTTTCAGAGTGCTATCATTAGCCTTTTTAGATGCTTAAAAAGCAACGTGCCTCATGAGGAATTGTTGGGAACCAGAACATATTTTAGAAGCAGAAGGATATTTCACACTTGTGCAAGAAAAGCCCCCATCAAAAACATTTTAAAACCAACAATTAAAAGTATGAAGTTATTTACTAACAAATGGAACATGCCTTGTCATAACACCTCTGTAAAGAAGATAATTCACCCCACTCCAACACCAGCACTTCTCACTCAAGAGAAGAATAAGGTTGAACCCCAAGTCACAGCACTCCTCTCCTGTGGGCTGTGCTCCAAGCACAGCACTGAACATCCTTCCATCTTCCAGAGCCATTCCCAGAATGGAAGCATCCTGTCTGCAGGCCACGACAGTGTCCATCCACCAAGTCACCCCCCAGGTCTAGAGGGCCAAGTTCAGATGATGTGCAGTAGTTCTCTGATACAGAAGGCACTCCCACTCAACTTGATACCTACCTCTGAAAGGCACTGAAAAGAGATTTATTTTTACTCATATGTGCAGTTGGAACATTTTTTTTCTGAAGAGCTACCAAGGAAAAAACTGGAAGATAATGAGCAATAGCCAACAGCACTTTGTGCTAAAATCACTTCCTGCTCCCCTCTCTCCACAGTGCAACGAGAAGAAAGAGGTGACAAGATAATGAAATGTGTGAGGTTGGGCTTTGAAAGATTGAGGAGATCTGTGCCAATTCACTGCTACTGCAAATAGAATGCAGAAGCTGCTCAGATCTCTACAATTAAGGAAACTTTTCCCAACTGTCCGTACTATTTAAAACCACAGTTGAACTTGGAACCTACAACAGAACTCCGACTTTCCTGGAATTAAAAAAGGAATTACTTTCTGGAGAGGAGAAGGAGGGGTTGGGGGACATCCTAAACTGCCCAACAGAAGAAACAAATCTTCCTTCCCATGCCAAACAGCTGACCACACTCTTAATATCACTCTTCTGGAAGCCAAAAGGCACATTATGCCTCTTACTTTAAAATGGAGGATTTTTCTTCCTTGCTCTTCAGGAATCAAAAATACAACCTGATTTTCCTTTCCTTATTAGCTACACTGCCCTATGCACACACTTGGAAAAACTGATGACACAAGGTATACTCTCATCTCTAATGGAGGCACCAAAGTATTTCTAAAATAAACAGCTTTTAGAATACACATTGGTCTTGGTTAGGATAAATTATAATGTAATTTGGTACCATTTTTTCCTAATTATTTTAGAAAACACATATGTTTGCAGGTCCAATATTCTAAAATAGATCTCACATGACGATTTCTGTTCTAAATACAGCACCTTCTAAACTGTGCAACACACTGTGCTGCTGCTGATTAACACAAACCCCAGAGGAGTGGAAGTGGATGTCTGGGGAAACACAGAAAAAGTACCTTTTAAAGGTTCCATGATTTCCCAGAGCCTAAGCCATAGCTCTTTATATATTTAAGAAACAGCTTCTACTGAAAAAAATCAAATAAAGGGGCAGTGCTTGGCAAACCTTTTCAGCACACTGCACCTTGGGAGGAAGGAGGGAGTTGGTTACAGAGGCTCTCCAGGCCTCGTAGAAATCCCACAGAAACAGAGGGAGTAGGGAACACATTTCAGCTACTGAACAGCATATTCCAGCTTTGTTTCCTAAAGAAAGGTCGTGTCCAACTCCCTGACAGCATTTTGTAGGCAGCAGCAGCTGAAAGGAAGCAGCACTGGAAAAGGGAATTACCTTCTGGAGTAAGGATGTTTGCTTATGTGTTTAAGATACTTAAACATTAACACATTTAACTGTTGGAGCAAGTCCAGAGGAAGCCACAGAGTTGATAAGGGGACTGGAGCAGCTCCCCTATGGACACAGGCTGGGAGAGCTGAGACCATTCAGCCTGGAGAGGAGGTGGAGTGGAGACCTCACAGCACCTTCCAGGATCTGAAGGGACCCTACAGGGAAGCTGGAGAGGGACTGTTCATCAGGAACTGCAGTGACAGGATGAGGGGGAATGGCTTCAAACTGACAGGTTTAGATTGGATATTAGGAAGAAATTCTTCCCTGTGAGGGTGGGGAGGCCCTGGCACAGAGAAGCTGTGGCTGCCCCATCCCTGGAAGTGCCCAAGGCCAGGCTGGACGGGGCTTGGAGCAACCTGAGTTAGTGGAAGGTGTCCCTGCCCAGGGCAGGGGTGGCACTGGATAAGCACCACAGTGCCTTCCCACCCAAACCATCCTGTGACTCCGTATGTTCAACTCAGCATGTCAGCAGCTCAGAATTAAATCCATGTATCATCAGAGACACATTGGGAAGATGGAAGATACAGAGAAAATGAAGTACTGTCACATAAGGCCTTGGAAAACCTGCTCATCCCTTTGAACAGAAATGTAAGGCAAAGAGAGTGGTGGAGGAAACAGAGCCAAAAGATCACAGTTGAAGAGACAGATCTGCTGCTCCTGGGGACTAAGTAACACTAAAAGAAAAGGGGAAAAAAAAGATCTCAAGAGGGTGGAAACAACAGAAGTAAGAGGTTTAAAAACTTCCCATGTACAAGGAAGCATTTTAGAGGGAATGCTAATCCAGAACTGATCATGAGCAGAGAAAGCTGGAAGTCATAGATCATTAGCTGCCCCTGAAAGGGAGACAAAACAAATGCAGTATTAGAAGAACAAATGAAGGTGAAGAAATGGGGGGAACAGGTATAAGATGAATCACAGAAAGGCTCTAGAACTAGTAAGATTCAGAAAAATCAGCCCCTTTAGAGCAAGTAATTATCTCTTTCCCTTTCAAGGCAGTGCTGTTTGAACACCTGCTCAGTGTTTGGTATTACAGTGGTGCAATGCACTTTTTGGGTTAGATTTTGCACTTGTGAATGCACCTGACCTGCGTTGCAGAGCCAACATTCCTGAAAGATTTCCATTTATAATTCAGACTGCACAAACTGCCAAGAAACATACTACAAACTCATCACTTTTTCTTTCAATTGGAAAACCTGATAATGAGCTCTGAGACTTTACAAGCCAATAAAGTACTAGGAAAGAAAACCAAATGTATTATTTTCTTAAGGGCTGGAAGAAATTCCAGTGCTTTTCCCCATACGAGGAACTGAGCATTCTGACAGGAATCAGAGGGCAAACTTTCTGCAAATGCCCTATGGCAGGGCCAGGGTTACCCTTTCCACTCCTCTCTTTTCCTTCATCAGGGTCTTCTATCTTGTTTACAAGTTTACCCCTTTTTAACTTGAAGACAACCCTGAAGAGAGTCTCCCACTCACCTCAAACATCCACAGTGGAGGTAAGACATTTTCATCACAACATCCACAGAATGCACTTAAGATTGGAGAGATTAGGGAACTGTATCCCTCAGCATTCATTTTCATGCTGCATTTATTCTGCAATTACCTTCGAAACATACATTTACCACCACAGCTTTCATATCTCAGTCAAAACACATTTCAGCCCATCGATACATAAAGAAAATTAAGGATTATCAAGATAATTATCTGGAAACTAACCTTTCTGTTATTGCAAATGACAAAACTAGACTTAGTTTGCCACTTCTCCAACAGAAGTCTCGTCACCTGACCCTGAAATTAATTTACAGTTTGCTTTCTGAGAACTATTTATGTCCTAAGCAAATTGACCTTGTCATAAAAAAAGCCCAGCCACAAACAAATTTAGAGTCATTTTTTCAGTACAAAAGCCAACTATTAAATGACATTTGATTTTCATTCAACCATCTTAAATCTCTTTAGATATTTTCCAAACAACTAGTAAAACCCCCACAATTCTTCCTAATTAAATTCTGAATTTAAACATGACCTTCAAAAGAATGCTACAAAAACATAGAAACCATTTTTTTTCCCCTTGGAATACATCACATAATTTGCTGACCGTGTATCCTTGCTGTGCAGGGCAGAACATTTATCAAATGCATAACTGACAACAATATTTACAAGAATGGCCATTAGCAAAAAAACCCACAAAAGCTCAGTAGAATAAAACCACTGATTAGGTGCCTTAAAGGGTGAAAATAAAGATTCACAAACAAAACGTCTTCTGTTTTGGTATAAAAATGATGGCACATTGCACTAGACAACAGATTTGTTAACAATGAAAAAAAAGAAAACCCCCAGGTTTTGTGTGGCACTCCCAAGCACTACTCATACAAGTCTTCCTTGTCTGTGCTAACTTTAAAAAACCTCCACAGACCAGCACACAAATATAAATTAGTTAGAACCCTGTTACATTAAAAAAAAGAAAAACAGACCGTGATTTGAAAATTCTGTTATATATCCACAACAAAAAATGTAGCCTTATTTTAGCAACAATCAAGACAGCCATTGAAAGTATCATGAAAATTCCCTCTGTACTAAGTGGCTAATTGCTAAATAGATCTGCATTTACCACGTAGCAGTGTCACAGACTGAGACATTTTAACGCAGATTTACACCAGGAAAAGCCAACTCTAAAGATACATACGACCACTCGGACTCCAGCTGCTCCCTGTAGACTCTCAGCACATGCAGAGCCACGGCCAAGTTCCTGGGGTGCAGCAGCTCTCCCACCTTCCCCGGGTCCAGGCAGGTGAACAGGACCATGCAGCAATAGGCAACCACCCTCCTGTCGCTGTACGGCAGGCACGTCCTGCCAGGGAGAACAGGGGGAACAGCACCTTAACAGGAGCCTGCAAAACCAGGCCAGTGGCACCCAGCTCACTGAGCTGCTCTTCCAGACAACCACGAGTTGGTCTCTGCCTAAGAGGGACAGAATTCACCCCAAGTCCCAGCTGAAGGTCAAACTTAACAGGAAACTTAAAAATATTCATGCGAAATTAGAACTAACTGAAGAGCTAGAAACTGGGGGAAACAACAATAAACTGCTTTTCTGTTCATAAGGTCTTTCTACACCCAGTGCTGACAAACAGGCTTCCAAAACCCACTCAGAACAATTCTCAAGCCTTTGTCACCAGCTCACTAAGAAAAGTCTGGGCTAACACATCAACTACATTGCCATGTGTCTGCCCAGAATAGTTTATTTAATATTTCATTACACAAACATGACGAAACCTCCAGGAAGATATGCTGGTGAGCTCAGGAGGGGGACAAAAGGATTGGAAGACACAAAGATTAATGGACCTTTGTAGATTCTGCATGATCCAGCAATACTGAAAGGCCTGCACAGCGGTGAAAAAAGAAAACGCTGCCTTCTTGGAAACGAGTGTAACTGCTTGAAAACACATCTGAAATACAGCTCATGGCTGAAGCTCCTCATTCAAAATAGAGTTTTCTTCCAGTTTCCACCAAATTAAACCAATTTACGGTTAGTGTGGAACAAGCAGGTTTCGAAAGGCCCTGACCCTTGCGGTTGGCTAACAGAAAACATCTACAGGATATGGTCTCAACCATCCCCTCCTCACCAAAGTTATTTTTCAGAGTTTCATGGTGCAAAGGGCACAGCCATCATGTGCAAGAGATTTGAACACAACCACAGAAATGACACCAGGAGAAAACCCGCCTCCATGCTTACAAGAAGAGATCTGGGAAAGCACACTTCCAAAGGCTATTCTGGGAATCTCCATTTCCTGCTGCAATGTTTCCAAGAAACTGGAGACTACAACGAAGAGCTGAAAAAAACCCAGAAAATAATATTAACAGGAATTCAAAACAACACTAATACATTTCATATAAACGACATTTCAGTATTACAGACACACAGTGCAGAACCATCTCCACAAAGCTTCAGGTGCAGTATTTCACTGCTACTGTACATAAATATTGGCATTTTCTCTTCTAATGCAAATAATTTTACAAAGTATTTTAGAATTATACACAGGACTTGTTTGGGTATTAAACACTGGCAACTAGTGATGACAAGAATGAATTGACAGTACCTTGCTATTCACATCACATTCTGCTTAGTTGGTCAAATCATTAAAGAATATGATGATGTGCTCAATACTTGCTAATTTCTATCCCAGAAAAATCAAAGCCAGCACTCCAAGTTACTTTGCCTCCAATTTTAACACTGAATTTAATATGGCAGATTTCTGCTCTTACAACAAAGGATTTATTCTAGCCTCTTCTCAGTACAGATTTAAATATGGGAAGATGGTAATTCACCACACAGTTTAATATCCTAGAGCAGCCAAAAGGTCTAAATTCACAAAAAAGAAAAACATGAACCCACAGACCTCACAAAATTAAAACACTTTTGCTAGCCCTATTGACAGCTCTCAATAGCCTGGCCCTTGTTAACAGGCTGGCAAAGAAACTTCAAATTAAATGTTTAAACTCAGTTTAAGAGCTATTACAAATATCAGCCTATTACAGATGGAGGTGGCTGATATTGCCAGGTTCTGTAAAACTAAAATTAGGTCTCTTGGAAGGATGTTGTGCCAGCTGGCAGCCAGATTTCCTACAGAAGTCTGGGCATACGTTCCCTTGGGAACAACAAGAAAGCAAGTCAAAAATGAGGTCACTGGGGCTTAGGGAATAGTAACTTGTCCTTCCATGTATATATATATATATATATGTTTAAGCCCAAAGTATGTATGTCTTCTCCATAATGCATTTTGAATCCTATTCCCCTCTAGTTGTGATGATGCCCATTCTCTCCCTGCACATCTGCAGTGTTTCATTATTTCCTGCTTGTCCCTGTGCTTCTGCTTTTCCTGCCCATCTGCTTCCCACCCTGCTGACTCAGGAGTTTGCTGAGGGACAAGCACAGGCACACCAGAGGACACTTTATGGGGAAAAGAAAACCAAAAAGGCAGCAAATCCTAGGAACAGGGTATTGCTTCCTTTGGGGAATTCCTTACCTACACTGTGAGGAGAAAGGCCTCCCACGAATACAAGAGGTTGGTTGATTATACCCAGTCTTTCCATGGAATTTGCTTGATCTTTTCCAGCTATGAATTACACTTTGGTCATTAGAGATTAGTCTGTCCAAAAACTACTACAGACCAGGGAAAAAACACCACAGATCTTTTAAAGTTACCATTCTTACTGTACAGACACTGCTTTTCTCCTCTGCAAAAACTTCATCGCCATAAAATCATAGAATCCTGAAATCATTAAGCTTGGAAAAGACCTTGAAGATCATCAAGTCCACCCATCAACCCAGCACCATCATGTCCTCAAGTGCCACAGCCTCACATTTTCTGAACACTTCCAAGGATGGTGACTCCACCACTTCTCTGGAAGCCCTTTCCAATGCTTGACAGCCCTTTCCACGAAGAAGTTTTCCCTGATACCAAACCTAAATGTCCCCTGGCACAACTTAAGGCCATTTCCTTCCATGGCCTTTCCATGCCCTTAGAGCAAAAGCAAGAAAATCTAGAAGCTGATGAAGACAGCCTTCCATTTTTCCATTTGCTCAATGTTCTTTCTGAAAAGGGGAGGGAAAAGGAAAAGAAAGAAAAAGAAAATAAAAGGGTAAGCCTATTTCACTTTTCCCATGAAAATGCACACATCTTTATGAAGTTAAAAACAATTATCAAACACCAACTTCAACAATTCTGTAGCTATCGGCACAGCTACATTTTAACTGAAAAAAGATTGCTCTGTGTGTGGTCACCAGGACTATTTTTAACCTGATGGTCAACCACTGGGAAATTACATGTACTAAGATGTACCTTCTGATATGCAGATGGACCCTAGAGCTGAAGAGATTTTCGCCCTCAGTGCAACTTCAATGATTGCTGCAAAAGAAGGGTGTTCTTTGGCAAATGCAAACACACAGAGTGCACCTTGCCCTCTCAACCAGCCTGCCATGGGTTATGGACACTTCTCTAGGTTCTGCAGAAACAACCTCTTTATACAACAGGGTAAGGGGTACAAGTGGAAACACTGACTCTTTAGTAATGAATTTTGGTACCTAAATGCTTGTCTACACGTAAACTGATCTTTCAGAGTCGCTCCAGGCCACCCATGCAAAAGGTGAGGCAGCTGATCCTCAGTGCCCTGCAGGAGGATGGTTTAAATGCACTCCAGCAGGTCAGTACCTTCAGCATCACAGCTCCCTCTGTTCCCTGCAGTCCCTTATAACGACACAACAACTGAAACAGGCTCTAGTGCATGCTTCTCAATTATTAGATTGAAATTGTATCATTTAACAATAATATTATATGGTCTGAAGGACACAATCCCAGGATGGGTCAGGCTGGAAGGGACCACAATGGCTCATCTGGTCCCACCTCCCTGCTCAGGCAGGGCCAGCCCAGAGCACATGGCACAGGATTGTGTCCAGAGGGGTCTGGAATATCCCCAGGGAGGAGACTCCACACCCCTTCTGGTCTCTGTTGAGGGCTGGGTCACTGCCCAGCAAAGAAGTTCTTCCTCCTGTCCAGGTGGACCTTCCTGGGCATCAGTTCCTGCCCGTTCCTGCTGTGCCATTGCTGGGCCCCCCCAGCAGAGCCTGGGCCATCCTCTGCCCCCTCCCTGCAGCCCCTGGCACACCCTGGGGAGGGCCCCTCTCAGGCTCTGCTCTGGAGGCTGAACAGCCCCAGCTCCCTCAGCCTTTGCTGCTCCCAGAGATGCTCCAGTCCCTGAATCATCTCCAGCCTCTGCTGGACCCACTCCATGAATCCCCACAGGCCTGACCTGTGTCCTTCTCCCCACAAAGACATCATTTCACACAGTGTCATTTGCAGAATCCGATTTTGTATAAGATGAAAACTTAATCCCTGAAGTTCTTAGGACAAAGAGTTTAAGCATTAGGATTTTGAAATACAATACACTGTTTCCTTCTGCTCCACATGGCTGGAGCAGCAGCCCTTGAACTTGCTCACCGATCACCTTGGAACACCTTGACAGCAGCTGTAGAGGCTTAAAACAGGCCTAAGAGATTTCCATTCTTTTTATTTGGGACAGACAGCACAGTGATAGCTGTGATCCTCAGCCTTTACTGCAATTATAAAACAAATAGAGATATAAAACAAATCCAACCAAAGCTGTACAGCATCGCTGGTCAGACTGCAACATAAGGCCTGCAAACCTACATCTGTCATTTAATGCTCTGCTAAGCACTAACACGCAGGAAGGGCAGAGCTGCAGTGCCCCCTCTGCACTGGGCAGGCACTGAGGCTTACAAGGACCTGGAGCACATCCCACTCTGCCAGTGCCCTCCAGAGCACCTCTGGTTGTTTGTAAACAATGGCAGAATGCTCTGTGATACACTGCCACCCCTGGGAAAATAAAACCTCCAGCTCAGCAGAAGGTGTAGACCTCTATTACTACAAAATGTGAGTTTCCACCACTGCCATCCGGTCATTGACTTGTTTCCTTGTGGCTGCAAGTTAAAGCAACTTCCAGTCATAAAAAGAGTTATTTGCCTCTTCGCCACCATGAATCATACCACAAATACTGATGAAAATGTATTTTCCTTGGAAAACAGTCTGTCTAGACTACTCAAATTGAATCTCCAATACATATATGGGCTCTGTCATTTAACGTTATTAAAGCAGTGCTCAGTATTTTATTTCTGTAAATAAAATGAACGTCTAGCTACCGATGTGATTTCCGCCTCGATCTTCCTGCACTTGCTGCAGTGCAGACTAGGAACCCACTTTTACCATCTGTGGAATACCAGCAATGTTGTGTTTAATAAGTTTCTGCTCCCAATCCTCAACCCTTCCACCTCCAAAACAAAGTCAGACTCTTAATTTTTTTTTCCTTTCCCTCCAGAAGTGCCAACTCTAATATTACCAGAACATTCCATGCACTGACTGGACAACCTCTCTGTTCTTGCAAGATAAACGTCTAGGCAGAGTATCAACAGGGTGTTCTGACTGAACAGGAGCATTTGACTCCAAGGCAAGTGAGATCCCCACTGTGCTATCAGGAATGTGCAGTTGAGAGAAGCAGAAGAGAGTTGGAAGAAACCATCAGAGCCCACATCAAATTAGCCTCTGATGCAAATTAAGTTCTAACGAAGTCTCACAACGGGAGACTCAAAAAAATTTATTTCTGCATTTTCTAGGAAGGAAAAGAGTCAGTTTGACAGACCACTGAGGACATGAAGTTCACAGTGACTCTGATTCAAACAGCATTAGCAAGGCTTATTAAATACAGTAACAGGACCATTTTCTTTAGCTCCTGGTATTTTAATTGCATCATTTCATTTTTAGAAAGTAAACATAAGTGTGCTCATTTCTTTAATAAATTATCTACTAAAATCTAAAGGCATATGAAATGGGACTCGTGTTACATCCCCACAAGCAGCAGAAACACATGCCTGAGATTAGTTTCCTATGTGAAGTAAAACACGTCTAAGTGCTTGCAGACCTGGAACTGCATTTATAAGTTTCCTGCACACATTAGCATGTAAAATCTTGTTCTGGAATCAGCCTAAAAGCTGAGCCTAAATCTAACAGACAATGTCTCTTTAAAGAAAGACCCTGCTGTAGCAAAATCAGCAAGTTTGAAGTACTGGGGAGTCTCAACCTGGGCTTAAACCATGCCAGGAAACCAAGAAAAATAACAAGAAGGACTGGCCACCCACTATGCATTACTCGTGGTGTCTGACCCTATGACACACTCCTTCATGAGACCTTGTACAGGTCTGAAAAAAAAATGAAAAAAGGAAATTATTAACACTTAAAATACTAACCAAGATTATGAGCAA